AGGAATCTACTTTCTTCGTTTTAGGACTTCCTGTGTGATTTTGACCAGGGCATCTCTGTGGGGAGATGGAGACAATTTGTTGATTTGTCTCACTGCTTCCTTAGCGTACTGGCTTGCCAATGTATAGGAGCGGGCTATACCATCACTCTGAAAAAAGAGTAATATTAAAAAAGTGACTGACCCACGTGAAAAATTACTATTAAACCAGATATCATGACACTCGTGACAAATGATGTTCAAAACAACTTTGGTGGCGCACAATAATTTGACATCAGAACAACTGTGCCTATAAATCATGTCAAACAGAGGAAAACATGCCCACTAGGCTAAACGAAACCCCTCGTATTACATGTAAGCTCGGGCCATGAGGCTTTTGCCTGTCTTTTCTCCAATATGCATTATCTATAATTTCCAGAAAGAAAGCAGGGCACAAAAAAAGAGCACAATATAAGGGGAAACAAAGTAATCTACACACGCTTTGTGCTGGACTGAATGTATGCTACTTCACCCTCATAACACTAGGTTTTCATCCGTGTGACGTGTCACTTGGTCTCATGATCAAAGGGGCCTTTTTACATGTACAAATATGGATATTTAGAGCAGGGCAATGAGCTTCTCTAAATCCTGTCAACCTATAGTCAGTGAATAACAAAACATGAAAACTAAGGGGTACCCTTTTAATTCTGGCAATATTTACCTTATGCACTGCTTGTCGAGCTTCTTCTACATCATTGGGTCCTTTAAATCTCCGCATAATAAGAGCATTAAGATCAGGGAACTGTAATGAAAAAAGTACACGAAATGAGTTAAGTTAGCATGCTAACAACAGGATAAGACCTAGTATGAGTTGTTATACAATCTGCCGCCTCGTTCTCAAGGGAGGGGCCTTATTGATGTAAGAAATTTTTTCTGAGAGAGATTTATATTTATGGCTAGTACTTACTGTGTAGCCTACAGAACAGGTTATATCACTGTTTCTTTTTAGACAAGCAAAGGAAAGCACAAAACAAGCATTGATTGTGAGAGATGTGTGAAGCTAGAGGGTGAAGGACAAGGTGTGTCTTGTTCACCCCTCGCCTCACATTTAACTTTGCTTGCCTGCACTAAATGCAAAAAATGTGTGGCCTTGGTTGTTCAAAAGGTGGATAATGCTATCCACTGGATAAATCACTATCCAGCAGAAAAGTACCATAATTATCTATTCAAATAAGCGCCAAACCTCGAATTAGCACCCACCTCGAATAAGCGCTCATCCTAAAGGCAGAAAAAGTTAATAAGCACCCACCCCACCGTACCCCCTTTTCCTTCCCACCCAAAAAACATTGAATAGGTACTTATAAGAGACTTGCTTGAAGAGGAAGTTTTTTTCAGAGTATTTCACAGAAACCTTGCTTTGTTACATCTTCGCATTTTATTATTACCATTTATTGTTGCTAAATAATGTTATTACACTTGCCGAAAATGGTGAAGATTATAGAAGTGCCCACTTCAAATGAGCGCCCACTCTGAAAGTCCAAAAATTTAATAAGTGCCCAGGGCAGTTAATCGAATAGATACGGTCTTAGGGAAACCAATTGCGTTATCCACTGAATAGATTTTTATCTGGTGGATAGCACTATCCAACGTTTGAACAACCAGGACCTGTACTGCCCAGTACTTTTATTTTAAGGCAGTGGGATGTGAAGCTCAATATCTTTTCTTTAACTATCATCATTTAAATTCTGTCTAAAGTAATAGATCCTGTTTGACTCTACACCATGTTCTAAAATGCACTGACATTAATCCATATTCTCGTTATTACAGGACAACCATAAAGAAAAAACTGCAGGGGTATGCCCATGGTTTGACAATTTTCTTAACATTTTCCTTCACCTGTTCACAAGCAAATAACACGGGAGCTGTTGCCAGTCCAAGTTGTAAATCTGTGGCTGTTGGTTTTCCCATTTCCATGTCAGTTGATATAAAGTCTAGAATATCATCTACAACCTAAAATAATGGCAAAAAGAACAATTTATAATAAAATTATTATCATTAACAACTTTTTTCCTGTTTCAGGAAAGTATAAACCAAAACTGGGATTTCCAGAAAAGTGGGAATGTTGAAACCAATATTATTATAAACCTCCAGTGGGGAAAGGGGGAAGGAGAAACACATTTCATTTTATCCTTATAAACTAACAGATTTAAAAATCTGCACAATTCAGTAAAATTCTAAATTATCCAAACGGTACCAAACAAAATTACTGCTGAAAAAGTTTCATTTCAGTGGTCATACTACAGAGTCATGTCTCACAATCGATTCTGGGAGAAAAAGGATAAACAAGTGATGTCAAGTTAGGACTTACAAATGTTACACCTCAATTAATGATTTTAAAATGCAACAAACATACCTGAAAAGCCATTCCTATATTTTTTCCATATTGATAGGCTATTTCTTGAATTTCAGGGCTACAACCACCAAATACAGAAACCTAAAAATGTATAAAATCCATTAAGTTACACTAAAATGTACTTCAAATAAGGGGAATCTTGTAAAAGCCTGTAAGGGTTTACTATAAATTCCCCATGTTGATGTAATTATACCTGTTCAATATAATAAAGTTAATGTTGTTGTTTTAAAAATCTTTGAAATACTACAATGGCTAGCCACATGGTTCAAAGTCACCCTCTGACTGAGTGACTTTGGACCACCTTTAGAATCAGGTTATTACAATGCCAAGACATTTTCCATTTGGAACCATGAATCAGTGTACAAGTAAACTACGTTTTGATACGAGGGATTTAGAATAAACATTTTAAACTCACAGTTCCAACTAGAGTTCATTAATGTCTGAAGACTTACCGCTTTACAACAACAAGCTATTAAACTGGCCGTCTTCTTGTATGTTTTCTCTAAGTAATGGTTAAACCTTTCATCTGGGTGTTCTTTAGATCCCAACTGCATAAACTCTCCTGCAACAATGACATAAAATATTCTGTTTATCTAATCCAGTAAAATGTTCCTCTGTCACATGTTTGTGACTTCAAAAGTTTGATCACTGTAGTTAATAAATAACAAAAAGGCTTAACTCCAAAAAGTTTTTTTTTTAAAGACATAAATAATAATTTAAAAATGGCTTAAAACTGAGGAGACACAAGCTAAAATTCTGAAAACAGCCTCCTCATCTGATTTATCATGCCGATGTTAAACAAGAAAACAACATCACCAGTTGACAAAAATATAAAACACAGAAAGTGACTGAATGTGTAAGAAGCTAGACTATTCTCTAACACTGCTGGGTGGCCCCATGGGCAACCAGCAAATCTTAGCTGTTATCACAGAAATCATATACTGGGCACCCTGGATTCCACAGGTCCAGAGCCTTAGGCTCCCTTCAACTTTTCTTAGAGCACAACCTTGTGAACATGTTTTTCGGTCAAGTCTATAAAATACCATCTGTAATACACTGTATTTATTTCTAATCTATTAGCAAAATTTCAGTTCTGGGGTTAATACTTGGGGGGTTATTATTTTAGGAAATACAGCACAGATTTAATAACCTTTGATAAGATCATCTACAACTTTGGCTAGCATTTCGACAACTTCAGCGTTTCCAAGCCGAGCCAGTGCCTGGGAAGCACAAGAAAGAATGTAATCCCCTGCCAAGACAGACATCTTTTCTCCAAACATCATATTCACAGATGTCTTGCCACGCCTCGTATCCGCACCATCTATAACATCGTCATGAACTAAGCTGGCGGTGTGGATCATCTCTGATACCATGACAACAGTTTCTTGGGAAGGCAGTATGGTCCTTAAAAATTGAATACCGGTAAATAGAATATTATTAGTGAGATTTAGAATCACCTTTACGGCAAATGACAAACATCAATATTTGTACCATGTGACCAGGTTTTGCCCTAATCTGCTGTTTAACATTTACTTTGTCTGCACAGAAATCAGAAGATTTTTTGCCAGTTCATCCATACATATGTGTGAATTGTCTCAGAAAGTTTTTATCCGCTCATTTCCTAAAATGAAAAATTGTCATCTTGAATGATCATGCACATGACGTTTGTTGTTAGTTAAGCCATAAACATGATTCTTTATCTCTATGTTAATAACTGTGCACTCATATTTCACCCATTTGCCCCTGGAAATGTTATTGAAGAATGCATTTTGAAGCTAATTGAGCAGTTTTCTGGTCACTGTCTTGCTATAAAGAGCTTAAACATACCACAAAGCTGTTTACAGGGCATACACTTCACAGCTTTTTGATCCACACATAAAATATTAGCTTGTGAAGTTGAAAAAAAGTGTTCAGGAAAGTTTTTTGGATCTCAGAAATATAAAATGAAAGAAAAGGTAGGTGGGTGGTGGAACAAGATTCTCATGGAAATGTTCAGGTCAATGTTACAAGGTTTTTTTGCACGTTTTTTTTCTCTGGGGTCCTTGACTGAATTGTGCTTATTCTGGTATGGTTTGAAAGGTCATTTTACTCTGCACAAGTTAGTTGTCCTTGACCATTAAATCTGATGGCGTCACAAGTGGTAAAAGGGACATGGATCTGCATGGGTGGTTCAGGGGCGAACAGGTTAAGCTTTAATCCTTAAAGCCTAAGACATATCAGCATCAAATTTCTCTTTGCAATATCAAAATGTCATTTTTTTCTATCCTATTTCAGTCATAAACTTACTTACTTAATTACTTAATTTTGTTACAAAGCGTATAAAAAAATTTTCCGCATTTAACACACAAATGGTTAAAATCTGTACCCGATTTCAGACCAAAAGGGGTCAAAAACCACACCCTTCAGCCCTCCAACCCCCAGATTTACACAAACCTTGAATTAGAAGTGTGATTGTTACATGCTCCAGCTGTAAGTAATACAATCATTGGTCTAATATATTTCCCCTGTCCATCGAAGTAGTAATGGCTTACATCTCTAAGTGGTCTTATGGAAGTGTTCAGTTCCTGGAGGACAAAATTTTAATATATTTCAGCAACATTCTCAAAGCCTATATTGTGTGATTCCAGAAAATATCCATACCCCCCCCCCCCCCAACAGATGGTCAATGGAAATTCCTAAGGGG